GACGAATAAGCAAACGCCATATTTTTTGAATAAATATGTGCTACTGTAAACATAAAGTGTAGCGGAATGTAAGAACTTCTCAGACTGTAACTATACACGCCCTTTGAAATTACTAATTATTAATTAGGTACCACTTTAGCCACTACGACATCATATTATAACCATTATAACATTGGCCAAGTAAATATTCATATTAATTATACCGAATGCTTATTAAAGTTGGTAGTAGGCACCTTTTTAAAATTACCATGACTAAATTTTGAACTACTCGTATGTTAGAATATACTGGTACAAATTATAATATATATTTTTTTAAATACATATTTATTAATTGAATTTTAAATAATTATTCAAAAAATATGAACCTTAGCTAATTAGCACGCCCAATGTATCGTCGGTGTGTCTTAGTGTATTTGTAATTATTTGCAGTCTATACGTGGGAGCGATTCGTCGAGTTCTCAAGGAAGGGTGGTTGATTTTATTTCTCTAAGTTTGTTGTAGTTCAATAAGCTCCATTATTTCTGACATAATTGATATAAATTTAGGTTTATTAGATGTTTTTTGTCTGAAATGTCTGAATATGTTGTGATATTCCATAACAAAGCAGGTTCTTTAGTTACCTTTTTAGCTATTTCATCTATTATTTCATGACAAATATCCAATCATTATTAGTACGTTTATAACTGTCTAAAAAAAGAGGTTCATAATTTTCACTGTTGCATAAGGTTATTTTGACGCGCATATAGAATAACTGTTTGAACAATAATATTTAACATATTTTTATTTTGATCAGATTGAATAGCATATGTCATACGCTAAATTTAAATGTTGACATAATAATAATAAATTATACTGTTTAAACTATGAATTATTTTGTTAACTTGAAAAATTAAATAATTTAATTTAAAGTGGGGTAGGCGTATTTATTTATAATACTTACACAGGGGAGGGCTACAATAAACCTCCATGATTTGTTTCGCCATTAGGACGAACATAGATAATGTTCTTTGTTCAAACATTTAAGTTTGATGAATAACTCTACTTAATCATTTTTAATGAAACAAAATTGAAATTTTTTAATGCATTTAATTTTTAATTAAACATATGAATGCCATTATTTCCATTAAAAATAAAAAAAGCACCCTTAAAAACCTAAAATTTCAAAAATTACATAAAATAATTTAAAATAAATTTATTGGGTGATTAGGCATTCAACACAATATGAAATTAATGTATATTTTTCAATTGTACCTAACAAAATGTAATCAAGAGTATAGGTGATTAGAAATATTTTTTATTTCTCAATTTGTTGTATTATAATTTATAGGTAGTTTGGCTGTTGTGCGTTTTAACGTATAGGGTACCTACGTTGATTTATTGACATAAAAAAATCATAAAAATATTATTTACAACGTTATGTTATTATTGTTTTACGGAAACTCTCCCACTACTGAACTTGTACGGTAAAATTAAATATATCATCAATAATTATTATAATTATTAGAACGCAATTAGAGAATCCACTCCCTTCCAGTTATCACACACGGGATTCGAGTAGGTACCTCGACTATCCACTATGCCGCGATATTGTCGGTATATTCGGTAATATAAAATATGATCAACATCATCGAGGTCGTTCTCGTTGTATAAAAACACGCACGTCTAATTATTAATTTTATTCAATAGCATTATTATTATTTTTATAATTTAATTATTGCCGTTGAACAGTATTAGGAATTCGATGTCAGTCAAAACACATTGTTTTAGAACGGAATGCCGTGCGGGTCCAGTGGCGCAATCGGTTAGCGCACGGTACTTATAAGGCAGTGGCCGTGAGCAATGCCGGGGTTGTGAGTTCGAGCCTCACCTGGACCACGATTTTTTGTTGAATTTTTCGGACGGCATTAGAAACCGGTTGCCTTTGAACGGCGGCAGCGTTTACCTGTGTATTCTCTATATTACGTTTCGTTGTTCAATACTTTGATTACGTGTTCATTGACTCTCTATAGGTACGTCATACAAAATTAATAAAACCACTCGGCGTAGAAATAATAACCGTCTTACAAATACTAATTTGAAAGCATTGTTTTTTTTTTTTTTTTAGATATTGATTTATGTTTGTCGGACTTAATTGAACCTGACAAAAGCTTAAATTATGTATATTTTATTATTATTAATCTATATGCATATTTTTTTTTTTTTAGTGAGTACCTACACTAAAATTACGGAAACCTATAAAAAGTATATTATATTGATATTACTTTAATAATTATTCATTTAATTTAATTTATATTAATTAGTTTAAATTGGATTAAATAAAAATCCTATTTAGCTAAAAATGGTTGCATCTAAAAATAAAAACAGTCAAGAAAACTAATGTAAGATACTAGTAAATTATTAATAAAAATTAACATTCATCAAAACTATTTAATTTTAAATTTCGAGTGGTAAAAAAACCATTCATAACAATCTTTAATTTATTTCTTTGAATAAATTATATTTAATTAGATTAATGTATCATTTAATAAACTTACCTAAATGATGTTTCATTTTATTTTATTTTAACATAAATTGTTTTTATCAATCGATCAACGATAATTAGTAAATGTTGACTGACACAGAAAATGTTAGATACGAGTGATAAAAATTAATTTTTTTACTTCCATTTATTGCACTAAATAACTGGTAAGGTTAGAAAAATATATTTCTAAACAACCGTCTAAGTATATATGCTTATATAAAATTATATAAATCATGACCAAATAATAATGAACACATTGAAGAAATTCGATGAAAAGTTAACTCTTCATTAGTAATGTAGGTAGTATGTAGTAATGAATCATTACTTAAGCTTTAGAGGAAACACACACACACATTTTAAAAGTGAATGGAGCTGGAATAATAGTTTTTTTCATTGTTTGTTTATTTAATTTAGTTTCATTTTAGTAATTATTAACTTAATTACCTTTCTGGTCGGATGAAATAAAATTTATTTTTTGGCATTTTCTGTTGGAGATAATTCAATTTGACGAGAATATATTGAGATGTATATATTGATGGAGAAATTTTGTGTCAGCGATATTTTGACGTTTAGTATCATAATTTAAAAAAATAATAAAACTAAAATAAAACCGATTAATTGCGAGCTAGCTTTGGCTAAAATTCTATTTGATTAGTATATTACACCATATATAAGTTATTTTCGCTACAAAATTAAAGTGCATGGTGTTTTGATTTTGTAAGCAATATAATATACCTTTTAAAAAACTGTGATTGTAACAACTAATACATAATAAATTTATATTCTTTTATGCTGTCGGGGTCTGTGTCGTTGTATTATGTGAATATGTAATTTTGTGTTTATATGTGTGGTTAAGTGCATTGTACCCATCGCACATACGTGGCATAGTTCTATGAGAGGTGCTTGTATATCTATGTTGTAATACATTCATAAATTTCTTTGGGTTACAAAACAAAATCAAATTATGCCACTGCACAGTATAGGTATAGTGCGCCAAAAACTAAATGATTACATGAATGAGTCCGAACGATAGACAAAACAACTAGACGAGAGACAAAACCGAGACCTCGATATTGAGGAGTGAGGACTGAGTAGAGATCAATGATGATGTTGATAAAAATAATAATAGGCGTAATATATTTTATATGGGCAATAACAAATACCAAACGGTCATCAATCACAACGGGCAGTTTTCAGACGATGAAACTCTAAAGTTTAAACTGCCAATCGACGCACACAACGTTCGACATACGTTTTATATATTTATATACCTATAACGGCTAACGGGTAACGTTTCAACTGTCGTTAAACGCATAATTGAATAGCCTTCTTTTAAAACGCGTATTCGATCTATATACGTACGGTGCCCCGGTCATCGGCAATTATTTTTATTTTTTTTGTTTTTCCAAAAACAATTTTCAAACGAAAAGTTATTTGTTTTGTTTTATACTCATCTCTTGATTGATTAATTCGTTTATTTTTAATACTAATCGTTTTCTTTTGTTTTTCAAAACTACCATTCAGCTGCATTGACAAAATAATTCATCATTTTTTTTTTTTTTTTACAGATAACTTCTTTGCCTCCGTCATTTAATTATTAATTGAAATATAATAATATTTAATATCAAGTACACCTATAGACGAATGTCTCTAAAAATTTATATCACACCATATTATCGGAGAATGTTTTATTTACACTCAAACGTCATATTCATTTAGCCCATTTAGGTGACGAATTGGTGTATTAATTTATATACCTATGTATTGTAAATCATAAATTAAGTTGTATAAGTAATCCGTTTATAGTGCTAGTGCCCAAAAATTAAATAATAAGTTTAGTAATCATTAACCGTTATATTAATCAGGAACTTAATCTATACACGAGAATCAATTAAACAGTATAATATTATTATTATATTATAAGAAAATCATTCAATAAACGATTAAAAAAAAAAGAATCAAAGCTAATATTGTTAATTCTTTCAAATACAAAAGTTCCATACAAATATATTGCATAACTATATAAGACTATTAAAGTGCAATTTAACAAGTATTACACGACTGTTAGATAGAATAATAATGTGTTGACATGTACTATGAATACTATGAATTACGTTCCACATGACTCGCACTGCAATATTTATGACATCAGATTTAAGTTTGTCTTTTTGGGTCCTTTATTGTCACTGGTTTACTTGGTATTTTTTTTATTTTTTGGTTTGAAATACTTAAAAGTTAAATCTGGCATAAAAGTTTATCACAGTAATAATATAATGCATTTCGATTAATTTGGAATCTATATAATTTTGTTTTGTGTAAGATTTAATATTATGTTAAATGTTTTTATCGATATATTTTTAAGGAAATTGTGCAACTTGTGTGTTTTTTTGACAGTTATAAAATAAATTTATTTAAACATTAAATATAGTATTTGTGTGGGGCACTAACAGTGAAATTAAATTTTAAATGGCTGTTTCAGGTTTTTTTCTACTATGCGTTGTATCCGCATCAGTGACAAAATGAACGAAGTCAAATCATCGCCACTGTGAGTGAATGCAGTAGAATTTTCAAGGAAGAAAAATAGCACGATAATTATTATTGATCAACTGCATGAATATATAGGTGACAAGTGCGTTTATAAGGATAACGAAACTTCGATCGTTGCAGTTCGATCATGTCGCTGTCGCCATTGTTGATGGTATTGACGATACCGTCACCACTGCTGGTGCTGTTATTCTGCAACGCTGTCGTAGTAAGCTCTCAGTTAGCATGGACACAAATCTACGTTGGTTCAAACAGTAAGTCTGTTATTATAATTATTTTGTTCCGATAAAAGAGCTGTACCAATAAACGTACTTATATATAATATGATATACATTTATAATCATTATTTAAATATATTGTTTGGCTAACAAGACGTATAGACGTATAATGTTACATCATCATTGGCTTATGCCTTATCTGTAATAACAGTTTTATTTTAATTATTTTTTAGTTGGATTGTACAATCTCTATCGTTTTTGTATGATAAATTTATATGAAAATATAAGTACAATTAGATTTAATATGACTATTAGAAAATAGAAGGGAGAAGCCGCCCATCACCGACGACACTCCTAGATTGTTATCGAAAAGTTTTGATAGCAGAGCAGTTATCATGATACCATTTTTTTTATATCTTTTTGTGAACTGTAGGGCATTGGTTTGGTTAAATTATTTTTTTAAATGCTTGGGCGATTGAAAAGTGAGTTATAGTAACATGTATAAGATTTGAGGCTTTGAGAGCAGTTTATAGTATTGTATTTATTTAATCGAAGTATTTGATTAGATAAGTATATACCTATATTGGAAATTTTGTTATTAAATAAAGAGTTTCGTTTTAGGTTATTTGTTTTCGTTTAGGTTCGATTTTTATGTGGCTTTAAGAAAGTCATGTAAAGATTTATTTTAGTGTGAAGTGAAAGTTTTGATTTTAAGTTAAGAAAATATTTATTGGTTTAAATACGAGAATTTACTCTGAGTTTTAAGTATATGATGAACCCAGATTAATTTTTCGTCGAAGTATATTCTGAGGTAATTTGTGTATATTGAGCTTGGGAATATTAAAATAGTTTTAATGTAATTTGGTTGCAAATTTCATGTTTAAGAATAAGTGATGTGTTTAGATTTACTTTTGTTCATTTTAACTTTCCAGTTTTACCATCAGATTTTCAATACGAGAAAGATGAGATTGTGGATGGTTATTGTGGTAATTAGATTTTCAAGAACTGAGATAATTGCTTTGTCGTTGGCGTATTCATTGTATTCAGTGTTAAAAGTGTTAAGAGAAATTAGTTGATTTGCAGCTATGCAGATTTTGGGTAGGTCAAGAGCTGTTGTTGCACTTTGAGGAACTTTAGCGTGCATGCAATAATAATTAAGTTAATAAAAAATTATTTTTTGTCAACTTTACGTACTCAAACAACTCTTTTCAACAGTAAGCATAGAATTTTTTTATTAGTTTAATTCGTGACAAAATGGATTTATATCACGGATATATAGACACAAATGTAGGACATAATATATTTAAGTGTGTGGTTTATATGAGTATAACATAATACTGTAAAAACGCTCGAGTTATATACAAGAAATGTATATTTATAAAGTTTTGATAATAGGTTAGGTAAAGAATATAGTTTGAAATTTGTCTCGCACTAGTCATTTATGCTTAACTATTATATAAAATGTTAACATTTCTAAAATTATCAATATTATTTTAAATAATGAGTTTTCAATGTTAAACGAATCACTCTGACATAATGTTAATAAAATATAATAAGTCCGGTAAACATTTATTATAATACCTAAATAAATGGTAACTAAATAATTCTTAAAATTATTAATTTCATCTGAAATCGCATCAAGTTGGAGAGTTGGTTATAACATTTTTAATATAGCATATTATCTAACAATAAAATGAGTTTATTATCTAATAATACATATATATTATTAAATTGCTAGTATAGTAAAATGGAAAAATAAGTATAATTTAATTATAAAAATAATTTTTAATTTATTTGATTTGCATGTAATCAATATGATATCTCTTTGTTTAAAAACGTTATAATACTCTTTGTTATTTATATCTTTATGATGGCTGTTGAAAATAAAATAGGTACACGTAAAATAGAAATAGTCTAAAGCACAGACATTTTTGTGTTGGTCCTTTTTTCTTTATATACCATTTAATAATCTAGTATCTAATTGAATTGATTTAAATTTATTATAATTTATATTTGATTATTTGCTTGTTGTAGTTTAATTTAATTTTTGATTGTCCCTTTTGTTCTATATATAGTTGGCTAAGCTTGGTTATAGAGAGAGGTTTTTTCAACCACTGCTCCGTCCTTGATTAAATTAAAAACAAAAAAAGGAAACATTACGCGGTAGTGGTTACAAGTTAATGCACTCAACCTGTCACCCTCAATGTCGAGTTTTAATTTGGGTCGTCACGTACGTCAAGTCGGCATTACCCTTACTCCGGATATTATCGTAAATTATTAACCTATACTGGCCGGATACGGGTTTTCATTATTATTTAAAAAGATTATAATATCTTGTTTATGATGATACCAATAGAAAGCTTTATCTTTATTTTATTATTTAAGTATAAATTATAATAGAATAGTTAAGTCAACTTTCAGTAATTCTAAGAACTTTTGTAATTTGGTATTTGCATGTTACTTAAGTTTTTTCATTATTAAAAAGATTTTATAATTATATAATCAGAGTAATGCAATTGAAGTACTTATGTTAGAATTGAAATTTTAAATTTACTTAATGCGATATAAAATTACAAACACACATATAATATATATATATATATATATATATATCTTACATGTAAGCTTAATACAATTTATACTAAAGTTACTAATCGGTATTTTTAAGGATTAAAAAAATAGATTATTTATATATGCATAATAAGGGTAATACACTAAGCATGTTCATGCCAAATTTTACTTTAGTAATTAATTTATTTAAATATAGCTTTTTGGTACTATTAAATTAATAAACGTAAGAGTTATATTTTCAAATATTTAAGTTTGTTGTTCTACTTCAGTGGGCTGTGGTGATACTAATATTTTTTTACAAATAAGAATCATCCTTTTTTTGTAAATTAATAATCAGATTTTTTTTGAAAATGTTGATGCATCTAAATTGAAATTCAAACAAGTGACTTTTGATTTATTTGACTTTGTGTACTTACTAAGAATAATATATTTGTCGTTTATGATAATGAGTTGGATAAATATGAGTTAAGGCTATGACAATTTTACAATATTTTAGTAATTTATATTAATCTTTTAATATTTTATAATTTGTAAGAAATTTTCAATTATAATAAATATTATATCCAATATAACCTTATAAAATTTTATATTTTTGTGAATACACTTTCACTTTTCAGGAATATTATTCTTAGTAAACAACTATTATTTACTAAGAAATTACATGTTCAATTATTGATTTATTATTTACATTAAAACTAAAATTTTCAAAAAAATAATCTAAATAATAATTTTACAATAAATTAAAATATGCTTGAAATATATAAAAATAAAATCAGACTTTGAATAGATTAATTATTAAAGAAAAAAAAATGGGAGAATGACTATGCTTGAAAAAACAATGTATAAATTATAATCTAATCAATGTTGGCATAGGTTAGCCTTGTTTCTCTTCATATTCTCCAATTTTTATAAAGATTTGTTATGTAATATTAAACTGTCTTTTGTGCATGTAAATTTAGTCATAAATTAAATTTACAGACCTAATATTGCTTAGTTAACTATTAATTGCTGATTGTAATAAAACATAAGATTATGATAATATATTATTTGTGCGAGTGAGTATAGACAAAATACTAAAGTATGAAACTTGGGAATATATATTTAATCTGTTATTACATTGTCATTTCTGCTATAAATATGATTTTTAGAAACATTATCGACCTATATTATACTGATATAGAGCCTTTGGTATTTCAGGCCAATATTGAAACTAATAGAAATAACACTCGTACTAATCAAACATAATTAAAATCAGATTTAATAACTTTTTAATATAAATGTATATCAAAAGCCATAAGGAACATTTTAAATGTTTGTACCATCAAATACATTTACATTTTATCCACCCGTCTACAGGTATTTATAAAAAAATTAAAAAAAGTCCCTCTTGAAAAAATAACCAACAGCTGGTTAAACCAGCTTAATATAATATTATATTAAAAACTAAACTGTCACAAATTAAAGAAAATAAAAGAGTATAAGTTATTACATAAAATATGTATAATAAAACTCAAAGTTAAAAAAAATATTAAATTATTTTATAACTTTTAAAATTATATAATTTTTAAATTAAACGCTTACAATTATTAATAATAAAATGGCAATCGTGTACATAAATTCGATTATCAGCGCTATGCAGATCACTTAAAATCAGTAAAAAAAAAAAAATAAATAATAAAAATAATTTATTATTGGTTGATATTATATGACTTGTTTATACGTAAATGGAAATATACATTATTAATAATTATTATATACAACCCAAAATGTATATTGTTAAACCCAAAATTTATAATCACATTATTCCGAACTGTAAATTTTCACAATGTAAGTATTATAGTGACCTTATTTATAATAGTGCCTGTGTACATTTTAAAAATCTTGAAAATATTTAGATATAATTGAAATATCTGTAAACAATATAGGTTTCTAGCACATTTACGTTTTAACATCAAAAATAATTTGTAAAAATAAATACACAGTTATAAAAGTGTATGAGCTAAATTAAATATTTTGAGTGATTTGAACTATTATCTAAATAATAGAATAAAACCACTCACAAAATATAGAAAGCTAGAATGATGAATAGAAGAAAAAGAATGTTATTAACCTCTGAACTAAGAAAGGATGTGACACAAGTGAAAAATAAGTATTTTTTTATATATATTTTATACCTTTTGGGTTGACTGTATAAAGGTAAATACGTTATTGAGTATGGAAGTAAACAGAGAGCTGTTGGAGAGGTAAAGTTAACCATGTGCATCTGTCACTTTCAGGAAACTTTTCGATTCTATTTATTGTTGAAAAAGGATAGATTTAGTTTCCTATTTTAAATGATTATAGATAAGTTAAACAATGCAACAAAAGAAATTTTCAGAATAGTTTAAACGTTTGTATATTTCCTTTACCACTTTTTTTATTTTTATAAATAGATTACCTAGGTCACAAATCCGCAAACACTAAGT